TGCTTCCCATCGTTACCTGGACAAGGATGAATTGCTGAGGTCGGGGTTTAAGTCCAGTTGGGGATTTTGGGTTGGTGTCGGGTGCCTAAGAAATGCTTAGAATTTACTTGTTTCAGGGTTTCGTGCTTCACTTCCGGGGTCCAGGCCTAGGGTTTAGAGCTCCGTGTGCCGGGTCACAGTCGGCCCTTCCCGTCCAACTGGGAAGCCGGTTGCGTTGGACAGGATCACGGCCACAGCGCGCACCAACAGGTTGCCTGGGGAAATTCCAGGCTAAACCCTAAACTCACTATGGGTCCCGGTTCAGGCCTTCGGTTCGGAAATTTATTTGGGGCTTTGTTTAGGCCCTGGAGCGAAGATGAGATCATTGCAGTCATGTTGCTCCTGCGTGTTCGACTATGCTGGCCAGATAGTGGTGACCGTGAACATGAGGATGATGATGTGGAGGAGGAGGAGGGTAGTGAGGGCGACACTGGTGTGACTCGGGAATATTTAAACACGAGTGCGGGGCAGCTCTATTCCTGAACACTCAACCCTCCCCCCGAAGCTCGTCCAAGAAGCGTTTGGTAAACTGCGCAGACATGTTGAAGCCGTTGAGCCAGCTCTGGGCCGGTCGAAGCTTCAAGAAAGGCTCATGTGTGGCTGGCCCTCATTCCGACCCCCGTTCCTCTCAGGACCTCCAGTTTCGCAGCTTCCCTCGTATTTAATGCTGAAACAAGGATCCACAATGAATAATTTGAGAACAGCCCCTGTAACAGCCGTTCTTGTAGGGAACTCCAGTACCCAGGGCCGTGGCAAGCTCTCGGTTTCTGCTCGGGGATGGCTCTACACCACAATTTCAGCTGTTTGACAAGCCTTTTACAAGCCTTTACTGAGGTAGCCAAACCTAAACCCTAAACCCTAAACCCAAACCTCAATTTTTGGGGGTTACGGCCGGATCAGATCCCAGTCAAAAACTAAACATAGGCCCCCAAGTAGTTCCTATTTATGGTTCATATTTAGAATCCTATAAGGTAATCCCAAAAAGGACCTACGTAGGGGCCTATGGGTAGACAATATGTTTTTCAGGGTTTGGGGATCAAATTGTTCTGATGCAGTCTTGCATTTCCGGAGGAGCGAGTGCCGAGGCGGTGCCCTTGGGCTAAAGGCTTCCGGCAGTAGCCGGCACTAGGACCGAAATTGACTGGTTGACGGGATGGCAGAGTTCGGTGCGAATGGCGCGCAACACGTGATGTGCACCAAACCCTAAAACCAAAAGCCCTGAACCCCAAACCCTAAAACCAAAAGCCCTGAACCCTAATCCCTAAACCCTAAGCCCTTAAAACCAAACGCCCTAAACAGCCTTGTTCTCCACCGAGCCGGACCCGCCGCAGTCCGGTGCGATCCCTCGGAGTGAAGTCTTCAAGTTAGAGCTTCTAAGGCTTCTAAGGGTTAGGGTCTAGGGTTTAGGGTTTAGGTCTTTACTTACTTCCCCAATAAGCCAAGGAAATAAAAGGTTAAACTGTCAGATTACCACTAAATTATATGAACCCAAGAAGTTTAAGTTGTAAGAACCCAACAAGTTTAAAGGTTGGGTGCTGGGGAACTAAGGAGGAGAGGGGGTTGGGGTTGTTTCAAACGTAAACGCCACTTTTCCTCGCGCGCGAACACTGGGGAAAGGGCTGTGGGCCGGGCTTCTTGGCCTCCCACGGCTTGCACAGTACGGTTTAGGGTTTAGGGTTTGGGTTACGGTTTAGGGTTTAGGGTTGAAGTTAAGGTTTAAGGTTTTTTCCCTCCCACTTAGCTTGGACGAGCCCGCATTGCAGGGTGAGTTCGGATATGTCTGACTGCATGGTTTAGGGTTTAGGGTTAAAGTTAAGGTTTAAGGTTTTTTCCCCTCCCACTTAGCATGGACGAGCCTGCATTGCAGGGTTGAGTTCGGATATGTCTGACTTGCAAAGGGCCCTTATTCGACGGGTGTACAGAGACGGCCCAATTAGTTTAGGGTTTAGGGTTTAGGGCATTCCAGCTATCGTTTGACCTCGCTAAGCATCTCTGCCCTCTGATTCACTCCACCTTTCCAATGAAATATCGCTCTGAGACTACATGCAGGTTTAGGGTTTAGGGTTGGGCTTGGTTTCGGGGTTCCGGCTGCGAGAGAGAATTCAGGGCACAGTGTCTCTTGAAGTGTCGAGTTGCGGGGGTGTCCGGCTTGCCCGGCTGGTTACACGCCACATGAGGATGTGTTGGTTGTGAGGCTGGCCGTCAGTATGATCAGTTTGGATCCAAGCTATGTTTTACATGGGCCTCAACCATCGGCTTACGGACAAATTGAGACTCGCGATATACGGGGATGTGGATTCGGAACGCAGGCACCTTTCCCGCAAGATGTCATCCTCAATGCGGTCTTTTCAAGCGGGGTTCCTGAGATATCCCAAACTGGCCCAAACTGTTGAAACCCGGTCTTGAACTGCAATCCACGCCGAAGCACCATGGATGAGAGACGTGGCCACCGCAGCGGGGATCATTGCGAGGGACACCAAGGTCACCAACGCCAGGCCAACACCACCTGCCCAACGGAGAAGAACAGAGGTAAGAATGTCAAAAAAGCATCTCAAGCATTGCGGAAAACAAGAAGAGAGGGAGGAAAGAGAGCAAGAGAGACAAAGAGAGAAAACAAGAAGAAGAGAGAGAAGAGAAGCGAAGCGAACAGAAGCGAAGAGAAGAACACAAAGAAAAGGACACAGGAGCGAGGTTGTTGTTTGAAGCTAAAGCTTCGGTTTTTAGGGAGGGCACCGAAACAGCCCTTGCGTTTGCTTTTTTTGCACTGGGCTCTGCCTTGTCGCCCAAACTCTCAACCCCAAGTCCCCTAGGCCCCAAACTCTCAACCCTAAACCTAAAGACCCAAACCCGAAGCCCTAAATCTGAAACCGAGACACTAATCCCTAAGCCCTTTAACCCAAGCCTTCAGCCCTAAGGCCTAAACACCTGTTAGGGTCTCTTAAAACCCCCAAGGACCGGCCGTGCCTCGGTTCACCGCAAGTTGCATCAGGTCAAACTTCGAGTGGACCAGGAACTCAATGGAGAAGACGGTGCCTTAAAGGCTTGGGGCGTTGGGGTTCAGGGGTTTGGGGGTTTGGGGTTTAGGGGTTAGGGTTTGGGGTTCAAGGGTTAGGGGTTTAGGGCTTCAAGGGGTTTAGATTTTCAGGGATTTAGGTGGTTCGGGGGAGTTTCGGCTTTGGAGTTTCAGGGTTCAGGGTTTAGGATCAAGGTTTTCCATGCTGCAGCCTCTTAAAGCTCAAGACCCAACACCTAGCTCTTTAATCCTTATAGTACTAGAGAGGGTCTTCTGGATGTGATACTACATGCTCAAAGATCTGCATTGCCTTAACCCTAAGCCCTAAATCCTAAAAGAGCTGCAACATAGGGTAGGATCCTCAAAAGCCTGACGGTCACCCAGTTTGACCGGGAGCATCGATGAAAACAGTGGAACTCCAGCGCTTTTTCCTAACCTTCACCTCCAAGCATTGTAGATCTTGAATCCTACCAATAGGGTTTACAGGATTTAGGGGCTTCTTCCTAACTTCTGCCTACAGTAGAAGCCAAAAGGTTGGAGCTTCACCCGGGTCCTGCCCTCAAGACGTGAAGGGTACGACATCCCAGCATTCTTCTCAGATGTTCCAACTTCTGAAACCATAAAGTAGAAGCCCCCGAAAGGAAAGCTGCTCCTAATCATCATGTACCTGAACTCGTTCAGGGTGCAGGCACTGCAAACTTTGGGATCCAACCTGATAGTGGCCTTGGTGCCTTATGCCCCACGTACGCGATTGAAGATCTTCAGGGTGCGCTGTTCCGGAACTCTTCAGAACAGAAAGGCAGCAAGCATTTTACTGACCTGCTTCCAACAGGAGGCGGACGGTCTCAGCATGTCCGTGACGCCTGGCGTGACTCAGAGCTGTCATGCCTTCCTGGTCCCGCAGGTCGCAATCGGCATTTTCCATAAGCAGCATTCGTACAACGTCAACTTGGCCTTCGCACGATGCCTCCATCATTGCCGTCATGCCTTCATGGTCCTGCAAGTTCTTGTCCAGCCCAGCCTGGAGCAGCAAGTGCACCATCCGAGTCTGGCCTTCCATGGCAGCAGAATGGAGAGGTGCCATGGCATCGCCATCCGGCAATCCCCTACCAGCACCTTCCGCCAGAAGCATGCACACAACCTCCCCAGCATGCACCTGATTGCTGTTCATTGCATAGAGAAGAGCTCGCATGCCCTCTGAAGACTGCAAGGCACCCTTCGGACCGACCTTTATCAATAATTCCACCATCGCAAAATGCCCTTGCCACGCTGCATGGTCTAAAACTGAATAGCCGTAGTGGTCTTGCGAGTCTGGGCAAGCACGGGCTCCCAGCAGCAACCGTGCAACCTTTACATGGCCGTTCTGGCACGCGTAGATGAAAGGTGCTCTGCCTTCTGGGGACTGCCAGTATTCCACAGTGAAGGAAACGCAGGCGAAGAAGACACGGATCACCTCGTCATGGCCCTCCCAGGCTGCATAGTCCAGAGCCGAAAAGCCATCGTCGTCACGCAAGTTTGGGTTGGCACGAGCTCTCAGCAGCAAATGCGCAACTGCCGCATGGTTTAGTTGCGATGCCAGGATGAAGGCTGTTTTGCCATCCCAAATCCGCACGTCCTTCTCGGATGCTGCGCGAAGCAGTATCTGGAGGATCTCCGGACGCCCTCTTTGAGCTGCGTGGTGCAAAGCCGTCATGCCATAGGCATCACACACGTCAGGGCAGGCACCAGCTTGCAGAAGTAGACGTGTGGCCTCCACATGGCCTTGCCTCAATGCATAAAGCAGAGCGGTCCGGCCAGAGTTTTGTGACTGAAAGTCCTTATTGGCACCATGTTCTAAAAGCGCTGTGATCATCTCCGGACGCCCTCCTAGAGCTGCGTGGTGCAAAGGCGTCATGCCAGACGCATCACACACGTCAGGGCAGGCACCAGCTTGCAGAAGTAAACGTGTGGCCTTTACGTGGCCTTCCCTCAATGCATTAAGCAGAGCGGTCCGGCCAGAGCTTTGGGACCGCCCTCCGTGAGCTGCATGGTGCAAAGCCGTCCTGCCATAGGCATCACACAGGCCAGGGTTGGCATCAGCTCGCAGGAGTAAACGTGCGGCCTCCACGTGGCCTGCCCGACAAGCATCCATCAACGGGGTGCTTGTTCTCCATCCGGACGACAGGTCAACACAGCCAGCATTGAATTGTAGAAGCAAAACCACAGTCTCAACACACCCCTTTCGAGCAGCGTGGTGCAGAGGTGTCTTGCCCCCAGAGTCAACCTTGTAAGGGCTGGCGCGCACTTGCAGCAACAAGCGCGAAACCTCCACGAACTGGTTCTGACAGGAGCAAGTCAAAGCCGTCTTCCCGTCACTGCGAGAGAGGTCGACACTAGCAGATCTTCCCAGCAGCAATCGCACTATCCCCACATGACCTGCAGCAGCCGAGCGAATCAGCACGGTCTCGCCGTCTTGACATCTGCAGTCCTTGTCAGCGCCTGCATCCAACAACCGGCGCGCAACTTCATCGTTCCCTGTTGTGGCAGCATACTCGATCAACTCCAGGTCCAGCAAGCGCCGATTTGGTGAGGTCGAGTGGAAGGATTCCTGGACCAGCTGCAACTCCATAGGCTTATCGAGCTTTTGCGAAAGATCCAACCGGTGTTGGTTATGGAGAAATGCCTGTATAGAAACAGGGATGCCCCACTGTTCGCGTATTTGGTTCTTCAATGCCTGAACATCTGTCACATCTCCAGCAGGGAAAGCCAACTCGGCTCCTGAAACACTCCACACACGCAACATTCGTAGCGGGATCGAGGCAGCACCTACGTTCGAGCGTAGGAAAAGCTGTAGCACCGCACAGAACCACCAAGGATCACTGCAATCCCAGACCGTGCGAACCCTGAACCCCAGGCATTAATCCCCGAACCCCAAAACGTCCGCATACATGCAACAAACACATCAGCGTTCCTCAGCACTGCACACATCCCATCCAATTATCATGCATCTCAGGCCAAGCTATATGCATCCGAAGCACAGCTCGCCTATGCCGGATTTTGAAATCATCGACTCGTACCCTAGCGCCCCCCCCCNNCCCCCCCCCCCCCCCCCAAGAAAAACTCGACCAGACCAGAATCACCCACACGGCTCCGGTTTGGGCTGAACCTTGTCAGAAAAGCTTGAAAGAAACATCCTGTACATTCGTAGCGAAGCCTACGAGACATCGCAAACCACCCCTCCAAAAGCACGCAAGACATCCCAGAACCTAAGTTGGAGCCAAATGATGTGGGTAGTTCTCTAAAT